GTCTTCCAGGGGTGGTCACAGCTCAAGGTGATGGGTCTCTCCCCTCCCCTCACTGTTGTCACCCTCCGAGGGTGACCTGGTGAGCCCCGGGAGCCTCATTTGCACAGGACCCGGGTATGACAGCACCAGATCCCCTCCTACCTTCCTGTACCTCCCGCCATGCATGCTCAGCAGTGGCAGGTGCCTGTGCAAGCCTTGGTGGCCGTGGCTGTCATTCAGCTGTCTCTCCCAGGCCCCGTATCGTCCAGCCGTGGGTCACCGCTGATGACGTGGCCCCTCAGGTCGGCTCCACTGCAGGACTCCTCGGATCTCCTCCTCCTTCTCACAACACGGTTCCCATTTCACCTGGACAGACATGTCGTGAGCACCGCCACCCCCTCTAGAAGATGACCTTTGTCCTCAGCCATCCTTGGCGCTGGACTCAAAGAAAGCGACCCCGTCGCCCGGGTCTGCCTAGACCCGCCCCCCCAGCCTCAGCCCCGCAGGTGGCCAAGCCCCCATGACACCAGGTCTCGCTCGGCTACTCCTCTGCAGACACCCCAGCTTCTCTCCCCCTCCCTCCCACCTCCACCTGCTCTGCAGTCACGGTCAGCCCTGGACACTCTGGTTCTGACTAAACACAGTGAACTGGGCCAGCCGAGATGCCATCTACAGTGCCAACCAGAATGGCTGCACGGCTGCTAAGGCCGGGGCTCACGATTAAAGTGGGGAATGTAGGGTTATCAGACTCCTGTGTCCACTAACAGGAGGATCATTTGAATCGTCTAAAGGATTGGGACAACAGCAAAGCGTGTTCACCTCTCCAGGGAAAGCAAATGCAATACCAGTGCTTCAAACACCCCTCAGAAACTCCCAGTTCAGGCAGGATCCACTCATTTGCCTGAAGAACGTTTGGGGCAGTTTTCCTCTCAGATAAACAGAAAATAGTTTGCTTATCAGACACTGTCGTGCTGCCTCACAACAAAATTTAAAGAAATAAAAAAACATTTAGGAAGATTTACCGCTTGCTTGGAGGTACTACGCTAGGCACTTGAAGCATCTGTATATAACCTTCACCGAGCTCAAGGCGAGTGTGCCCAGCTCCACGGTGCAGTTGCGGGTCCGTGATCCTGCTGTCTCACCGTGGACACGGCTGGTATCTTTTCTCGTAAATAAGCCACTGCACGATGCCCAACAGTGACAGGAACCAAATGTCCAACAGTCCCTCCCGTGGTCATGATTTCTTGATCTGAAAAGAGGCGGCCAGTGACACCTGCCCAGCAGCGGGGTTGCTGAAGTTCAGGGAGATGAGAGGAGATGCGCGTGGCAACGCCTTCTCCCCCTATGGCCAAAGGTCTGAAGACCACTCTGGACACACTAGGATTCCAGTGCCTCCAGAGAACCAGCTGACGGTACTACCGCCATGTACTATGAGCAAAGTCAAACCAGAAGACGCACTTGCTTGGGAAATGTAATAAAGGACCAGGTGACTCCATATCTTCATGTATGAAATTCCAGTTAAACTAGACATGCACAGTACTATGTTATTTTGGTAACACGGACACAATTTAATGATTCTAATTTTTTTGTAGTTTTTGTTTTTTTACAAGTTAGGTGCCATAAACAGTCAAATAATCCATCTTTTAAAAAGTACGTTTACAACATCAAAAGAATTAAGATGAAATATAAACCTTTCTACTTACAATTTTTATACAGATTAACCAAATCACAAATACCACAAATAAATGTTAAGTTGTAACAATATAATGAATAAACATTCAGATTCTTAATAAAATCTTCCTTTAACATTTGTTTTTAACTTACCATTATACTAAATAATCTATGCAGAGTTCTGGGGTACAATACCAAGAAGGCACCAACAGTACAAAGCAGATAACAAAGCAGTTTCAGATCTTGAGTGCTCTACACGGATAAACAGCACAGAAAAGGCCACGAGCTTCCGGGAAGCTGGTGCAAGCCTACAGCATCCCTCTGGATTTCCGTCTCTGACCCACGATGCCAAGCTGGCTGCAGTGAGGGAGACGTGCTTCCTCTGCTGGGACACGCCTCTCATCTGTACTAGGAGGATCATATTTCAAACACCAGCATGACAATTTTAAAGCACAAATGCTTTAAAACATAAGCAAAAGGACTGCTCAGATTTTCAGAACCACTACATTTACAAAAATATTTCCCTTAAACTTGGGATTGCTCCAAAACATTGATTTACAAATATAAAAGTATTATGGAAGGACCCAAAGCATGTGTGCATATGTATGTGTATTAACATACTATTACCATACTATAGAAAAATTACCAATTTAAAATCTGTATTAACATGTAAGCAAATAAAGGTCAGTCTCCTCTGAATGGTCTGCGCATGACTGGTACTCGGCTTGTCGTAGGCAGTACACCTGTCTGCCTCATGGACAGCCACCGACTACTGTGGCCCCGCCACACCCGTCGCTGTGCATGCAGCAGCAGGAGTCACATGAACACACCGCACACCAATGCAGTGATCTTCTACCCTCACGTCCACGGTCTGTGTGTCTCTACCAGCTCTGAAGGCTGTGTCTGCACAGTCATCCTGAGTTCTCTCAAGTCCATCCTGCTGGCTTGCTAGGTATTTTGTTTCATACTAAGTGAAAGGACTGGAATGTTTCGACAGGAATTTTTTGCTTACATTTTAGACACCAAAAAAGCCATCAGTCTGAAACTTATCTGCGTGGAGCAGTAATGGAGGCATTCGGGATCACCAGCATGAATTTAGATGACCTAACCTGTGCATTTTTAGAGGTGAAAGATCCAAATGATGAGTCTTTCACACCTAACAGCTAGTACTTTTCACAGGTACCTTGGTTAAGACAATTCCCTGACCAGTTAAACCAAGTTTAGCATGATTAGTAAAAAGCACACATCCTGTGGCTACAGGGACTCTAGGATGCTAGTTAGTGGTTTCATGCCCATCTGACTCCATGGTACCAGTAAGGGGGAGGGAAAAAGAGCCTAGCGTCCCCAGGGATTAGTAACCAAGGCTATGGCTTTCTTTCTAGTTAGAGGACTGCAGGTTAACCTCATAATGCTGCTAACATTCCATTTAAAAAGTACAAAGAAACAAGAGCAATAAAACTATCAATGCTCCTTTAAAAATGTATCGAGGAACAGTCAAATCTCTGTATCTTTTCAATGCTGTGTGGACCTTCACAAGGCAGCTCTGTGCATGGAGGTGAAAATCATGTATCTCAGGGCAAAAACCTAGATGTAGTTTTGATTTCTGAGGATGAGTCAGCCACCTGCTCTGGCCCGTGAGGTGTGAGCGCCAGCACGCTGGGCTGGGGGGTGGGGGATGGGGGGTGGGGGGTGGAGCCCTTTCCAGCACTCAACTGGGACACAGGCCGGCCCTCTTTAGAAAGAATCAGAGAATCCAACCTGAGACATTTGGGCTGCTTCATCAGAGCCTGACAGAACACTGTAGACCTATGATCTGAAGAAACAAACATGTCAGAATTGATTCTCTGCTGTGTGGAAGGAAAAAAGAACCCTCCAGAAATGCTTTCTAAATCACCTGACGTAAAGCAAAGTGTTCGGGCAGTGCCTGGTGGAAAGGGGAGGCCTGCAAGCCTTTCTGTTCTAAAGCACAGACTGAGCCTGACTGTCCATTTGGACCCGCTAATCCAGAGGAAATCAACACCGAATCTTAACATGAATATGAAGATAGAAGATGTACATTTATTTCCATGAATTACAAGTGCATTGCTGTTCATATTAGCAGGCAGTCTTTATATAACCCATTCTCCATTGCTGTCAAAAATCAAACAAGAAAAAAAGGACAGCTGAGAAATGAAAAGCTAAAAATAGAATTATTTTTCCTAAGTGATCTGCTGGATAGCATTTTCCGTGGAACACAACTCAGAGGTAACAATAGATTTTTTGTTTCAATCATAGGCATGTGGCACTTGGACAGTCATCTCCGCACAGAAAGCTGTAACAGTCATGCGAGGGTACAGTAATTACTGAACAAGGCAGATTTCTCACCACAGAGAGCAGTGGGGGAGTCAAGAGGAGGCACCGCACTGGGACAGAACACCGAGTCCACACCACAGGGTGCGGCGGCAGGAACAAACACTAGAGGGCTCAGGAGGGCAGGGGCTAAGGCTCCACGCACGCAGGACCTAGTGCTAGCTGCTCCTGACGGCCTGAGCTCGGTGACATCAGAGACGTGAGTGAGCACTTGACGACAGAACAGTGCTCCAGTCGTGAGCTCTTGAAGGCTTTATTACAAACTGTTATATCGTAAGTTGAAAATGAACTTGAGATGCTGACATGCTGTAGGAGGAAAAGGAAGTGTACACTTTCTCATTGAAAGACGCAGTGTTCCTCTCCGCTAGACCCTCAGGCATTGAGCGTGGCTACAGCGCCCGTGGCACCTGTGCCCACTGGGCGTGGAGCTCAGCCCCACACCACCTGGGCAGCCTGCATGACCTTGCGCACCTCTCACCAAATCCCGAGAGAAGCTGCTACTTTACGTCTTTTTGCATAAGTCTTGCAAACACCAAGAACTGTATGTAACACATTTTGGCAAGTGTTGTGCCCCTGTAAATGGTACAGGTGGAACTGCCCGATGCAGGATTTCTTCCTTTTATTTAGAAAAAGGACTGAATTTTCTAAAAGTTGGGCAAGCAGTACATATACCTTACATCTGCTAGGGATTAACATGACACAAGGAGAGGTGCTGACGAGCACCCACAGGGTCCAGGGGCGGAGCACGAGCTGTAGGGGCCCCAGCAGGGTGGGAGAGGAGTGCAAAGAGGGGCCGTCACTGCCTTAAAGTGCCCGAGGAGCGGCCGCCCTCCCGGAAGGTGTGACGCAGTGACCGACAGTGAGGGTGGGGTCAGCAGGGCATCGGGAGGGAGGAATAGGGAGGGTGGAACCACTGCATCTTTCAAACCAGAAAGCGATTAGTGACTAAAGCAAGGTGAGCAGTAGGTGCCCTGAAGTACGTACTGCCACAGGTCACCGGAGGGCGACACACACAGGGGTGCCAGGAACAGTTCTCTGGACTGAAGGAATTCTTTGAAAGCATAAAAGCCACAACTACCAGAAACTGCCCCTCCGAATGGCTCAAAGGAGTCAGGTGGACACGCCAAGACAGGCTGGAGACGGGCCCGGGGTCAGGAGCTGGGAGGAAGAACAGCGATGCCTGCGCGTGGCCCGTCCTCGGAGCCCGTGTCCTGTTGGGAAACAGACAGACCGACTGTGAGCTAAGGGTGAACCACGTGGGAAAAGCAGCAGCAGCAGTGCTAGGAAAACGGAAGAGTGAAAAAGCAAAGGAAAAACACTCCTGCAGAAAAGGTCATCTCCCTCAGAACCACGTGGCACGAGTCACACCCAAGGCTCCTCAAGGGTGGGCTTGCCTCCACCCCCCCACCCCCGGGCACCTTTTCTCTCAGACGTTTCACAGAGGATGTTTCCAGAATACTCAGGGGGAGACACGCACGTTCGCTCACAGCCAGGCCAGTGTCAGTATTCCCCAGATGCCATTTATTAACCAACGGTCCAAACCAGAGTCTGAGAATCTTTGTAAACACATGTGCGAAGTGGAAAACGCTTCTGCCTCCTATTCTCAGCACGTCTCTTTCTCTGGATGAGCAGGTAGGTCAGAATCAACCACACAGGAGGCAGAAAGTGTGTTTTTTAATGCTCAAGTTTTCTGTGACTAACAACAAGCACAACCAAGTGCTGGTAGGAAGTGTGAAGCTGGTGGGCCTGGACCCTGGAAGGGCAGGAGGGGACTCAATGGCTGCTGTCCCGCCAGGCCCCCCTGGCCCTGCAGATGCCCGAGGATCCCTCAGGAGGCCCCTGAGGTCCCCCATCACTCTCCTAACATCTCTATTTTACTTGAGGAAATTATATTCTGGGTTAAATCCACTCCACCTGTTTCCAGACTAGCAGTTCTCAGCTGTGAGCACAGACGGCTGGGGGTGGGGCGTGGGTGGACGTGGGAATTCCCTCCACCCCGAGGACCATCCTGGGGAGGAGAAGTGCACGTTCTCTGTCTCACGATGAAGCCGCGTGGAGACAGCGGGAGGGTAATCGAGTGTGTCAGGATGCGAGCAAAGCAGACCTTCCTTCCCCTGGAGACGTAGCCTGTTAAACGCCTACCGGCAGGTGTCACCTGGCTCACAGGCACTGCCAAGTGGATAGTCCTTGTCTGCTGCTCGGGGAGACGGGCTCGGGGACAAGACGTGACCTCCTCCTAGAGGCGTGCCACCATGAACTGCAGCCACACCTAGCAGCTGGCAGAAAACTAAAACTGCCCTAAATGCTTTTATCTTTAATGAAACCAAAGGGAAACAAGAGATTAATGCCCCTAGTAATCAGTCCCCCACCACCCCCCAAGAAAGTCCAGCGACGGGCTGGAGAAGGAGGAAGAAAGGCAGGCACCACCTCCTCTTCCCCAGCTTCTCGGGAAGCAGGTAAGGAGATGGTCTGTAAGGATGAGGCTGAGACCCAAGGCCGGAGGAATCGGAGACTTGTCACAATGTATTAACCACTTACACCTTTTTACCTTTCCAGTGAAAACATTTCTAAAATAGAGCCCCTTAAACAAAATATAATGAACATACTTTGACCCTTTACGATCACTCAGAGCTGCCACTAAGAACATCAGCGAGCAGGGGACACCTAGGGTCTCCTCTGGAGCGGTCCCTGCTGTCCCCTCGAGCAAAGCCCCCACAGCTGTATGAGCACGTTTCCCCGGCGGGCCCGTGTGTCACAGCACCGACACCTCCAGGCTCTCCTCTGTGCAGTTCTGCCCTCGCTGCAGACTGGGAACTCACACCCACGGTCCCTCCACCTCCCTGGGGAGCAAATCTAGGTGAAAAAAGATTTCTGAGTCTAAAGGACCTGGACTCTCTGCCTAGTTTTGCAACCGATGTATAATCTTGAGCAAAATGCTTAAACACACTCCTTCAGTTTTGTCAATCGTAGACCTGGGCTGTGTGCTGACTTCAGAAAACGCTGCTGTGATCATCAAAAGGCAATATCTGTGAAAGAACCTGGCCCAGAGCTTAACAACGCCCCCAACTCACCCTCCTCTGCACTCACTCTTCTATCCTAGATGACTAAATTATAAGTCAGTCTAGATGTTGGAAATTTCCTTTGAAATGCACAGAAAAAAACAAGATGGATTGATGGGCAGATGGAGGAATGGATGGAAAGATACGTGAGAAGGCAAAGTATAATAAAACGTTAATCATAGGATCAGGGTGGTAGGAATATGGATGTCTACTGTAAAACCCTCAACTTCTCAGAATAGGTAAAAATTGTCATTTAAAAAACGTTTGGGAAAAAAAAAAAAAAAAAAAAAAACCTTTGGGAAAAAAATCGGGCTACAAGCACATTCTGTGCCTTCTGTGTGCCTGGAGGAAGTGAACTAAACACAGAGCAACACCCCTGCCACCGCCTCCACTGGTGACAGGCCCCAACCCTGGATACTCAGAGCTGGGGTGGGCCCCGGGTGGGCTTGGTCCCCGTGTGCTAATGGCCTCCAGTAGGCATCCAGTCAGCAGCCCTGTCCTGTGGCCCAGGACCCTGGTCACTGTCACGCTCCCCTGTGCCTGCTGCCTGACCAGCCACCCCACAAGTCCCTGCTGAGGTCCCGCCACCCAGACTGCCCAGTGTCAGATGCCCTGACACTTCAGGACCTAAGACCACCTGTGAGGAGAGGTGGGCCCCTCCCCACCAGCGGGGTGCCCCCTCCCGGCACTCTGCATCTTTGGGGCCGAACCCTCCCCTGGTGCAGTACCACAATGCTGGGCCTGACTCCCTGGGTCCTGCCATCAGGCTGCTAGAAAGCAAAGCCTGGGTCTTATCCATCCATTCCCTCCTACCCGGCACTAAGAGTATGTGACAGGGATTAAATGAACAATGACAAACTGATAGCTCCATCACCCCCAGATGTTCTACACCAAAGATGTGCATGACGGTCTGTGTCTTTCTCCCCTCTCAGGCCACGTGCTCCTCGGGGGCCACGTTCAGTCCTGTCTGTTCTGCTCACTGGGGTGAGCACACAGCATGTATGCCCTGAAACCAGAAGGCAGGGAAATCAGGGGCCATGAACACACAGGAAAGCAACCCATGGAAGGGACCGTGCAGAAAGTTGCTCAGCTCGACCTTCCAGGCCAGGGGTCAGTGGCCTAATTTGTAAAGAGCCAAACAAAAGCTTATTCACCCAACGCAGCCAGGCTGACCTGGCACGGACACGGGGACAGGAGAGCAGGCCCCTGGCAGAGACAATCCCCCCACCAGGAATGCAGGCAGAGAGGCCAGGAAGGGGTGAAAACAGCTGGGTCCCAGGGGCCGCTTTCCTTCTGTCGGTGAATGACCGCACAGTGCCTTGTGTGCAACAAATTCTTCAAGAGACTGTCCCGATGTGAGGTGTGGACGGATGAACGCTTCCAACCCCACTGAACTGGCCTCCCTATCCCCTGCGGCATCTACCCTTCCTGCTCAGACACTTCCTGAAGGTTGGCTGCTGGAGGCACACGTGCTGGGGCTTGGAGTCTGGCCTCCAGTGTGTCCCAGCAAGGGCCTGCCAGTCCCCCTCCCTTGCCTGGTTAGGGAATCGGGGTCTTTTAGGCTCTGCTCCCCTCACTCCCCTGCAGTCACTGCTTCTCCCGACCACACCCCAGTCTGAGCCCCAGATCTGGAAGCTCCTCTCCCACCCTCTCCTCTGCCCTGGTCCAGCCCTGGTGGCTCTGTGAGTAGGTGAGCTGATCGCATCTGCTTGTAGCCCCCCCTTCTGCCCTTCCCTGTCCCCTGATCTGAGCTCTGGGGCTGGGACCCTGCCTTAGCACCGCTGCCTGTCCTTGGCAGCTGCTTCTGGTGGGACTGCCAGTGGCAGGCACTGAGAAGAAAAGCCTTCCTTCTTCTGCCTCTATTGACACATGGCTCTTTGGGAGGAGTGGTCCTGGGTTTCAGAGGTACTGGAGGGTGGCGGTGACTCAGGCCCTTGAGGTCCCTGGGTCAGTGGCAGTCGGGCTCTTGACCCTCCTCAGCAATGGTGATGCTCTAACAGCTGCAGTTCCAGCAGGGGCCCAGCACCCTCTGGGCCTGCTGACCAGACAGATGCTGGCTCACATCGCTTCCCCTCAGCCCCTGCAGACCCCCGTCTGCAGGAAGCCCCACCACCCCGCTCTTGCTCTCCAGCCCTTCCACAGCCTCCTGACTGATCACACACCCTCTGTGTGAAATACCTCAAGCAGCTTCTGATCTCAAGCCTGGACGCTGCCCAACACAGGCAACCTCAGACCAACCCCCAGCCTGATCCCAGTATGTGAAAATAAATAAAAAGGCCCAGGCAGGAGAGAATGGACTTAAGATCCAGCTGAGAATCCCCAATGCCCACCGCTGCAGAATCCCCCACTTCGTAACCCTGCCTGGAGCCCCCTCGGTCACCTGTCTGCAGACCCCACTGCCAGGCCATCTAGCTGTCCCGGGCTGGTCTGTCCAAAGCATTTCCCCAGCAGGTGCCTCAACCCTTGGTCGTAATTCTTTATCTCACTGCTCATTTCTACAGAGCTCTAACACAACAAGCCCCACTCTCTCTCCCGTTCCGTATATTCTCTAAAATTGAGATCTGTGTTTCCTCTTTTTGAACACTTTTTACCTGTCTCCTCTGCTAGGATTTACTATATGGTTAAAGCTCCAGGTACCTGAGAAATTTAAGATCTGTATCCTGGCTGGAATCTAGCGGTCTCTTCAAAAATGAGTTCTTTGAGCTTTTCCTTGGGCAAGTCATCCAATTCCATGTCAAACTTGAACGGTGCTTCGGCGATGGGCTTGAAAAGAAAACAGAACGTTTAGACAAAAGTGGTTGTGGCTGAGGCAGTCATTCACTGCTCCACAGAAAGACCACAGATCAGGCTTTGGAACTGAGATGGCAGGACTGGCAACTGTGATGAGCAGCCCTGTGCTGTGCCCCAGTCACGGAAGTGCACCTCCCGAGAGCCCTGAACCAGTGAGAGGGAGCGTCCCCACAGGATTCTCCAATGTCTTCAGGCACTGCATGCACATGGCAGCCACAGGAATCTGCTGTGATGGGATGGCTGCTGCTGGTGGTAGTATGTGTACACAATCAAGACCCTCAATACTTGAATAAATGCATTTGATTACAAACATTACGGTATCTTTATATGAAGAAATAATATGGAGCCATTAAAAAGTGAAGCCGCAAGGAAGGTGAAAATCATGGCAAAATGCCCATATTTGTGTTAAACAGAATGAACTCTATTTTTAAAATTTAGATATAGAAATATAAGACTGAGAAGGAAACACTCCAAAATTTTAATAATGATAACCACATAACAAGACTACAAAGTGATCTTTCTTGTATTTTTCTGCAAGTTTTTGCTTTTCTTTAGTATACTTTCTCTGTAAATAACCAGAAATCTAATACTGTCTATTCATATCAAAAAACCTCCATGCATATTCAATGATAAAAGATGTAATTAGTCAGTTAATATTTTGATTTGTAAGCACCCCCCTCCAAACGAATGCAATGTTACAGAACCTGATGACAATACAGCTGTTACCAGGCACCCCAGACCTTATCCATGTCACCCTCACACCATGTATTAAGGGGAAGGAAACGTGCACCCCAAACTCTGCACTAGGCCCTGGCCTCTTGAAAGGGGAAAAAGAGAAAAACAAGCAGCTCCCCTCCCTGAAGGAGGGCTCGACGTATGGGACCGTACACATGCCACACTTCTAATCTGCCTGGCCCCCTTTGGGTGTGGGGTACCACCCCGGCCTGAAAGTAGGACGTGGGGCTTAGGAAACCGCCAGCTCACAGGGCAGTAAGAGCCCCAGGTCCCATGTTTTCAGCTGCTGCTCTGTTATGTACCACGGAGGTCGTGTCAACTGTTTCCGGGAAAGGCTGTGGAAGGGGAAGCTGACTGATAAATGCTTCCTCTGTTTGATTTCCTCTTTCTCTTTTTCATGTAACTGCTTTTCACTTTTGTAGTTAGTTCTTCCTTTCCTCTTCCATTTCCCCTTTAACACATTCCTCTTGGTTCTCCCTTTTTAAAAAACAGGAGTGTGAAGGCTTACTGTCTATGCATTTGAGCCTCAACTAGAAAGATCCACATTTCTGGTTCCTACTGCACTTTCCTTTATTATCCTCCAGAGAACGAAGTTAAAAGTGAGTCCCCAGAGGAACCAAAGAGCCAAGGAACGGGGACTTTTGGACAGAAGATGCCCGACGTGCAGCACCTTCACCTGGATGCCCAGTGTGCACTGGAGACTTGCACACGCACCTCTGCGACCAGCATTCCTCATCACGACAGGCTCTCGTGTCTCTAGGGAGGCACACAGGGAGGCAGACACAAAGCCACCAAGCTCTGGTGGGACTGTCCTGGCTGACCTGTCCCCTCCTCCCCTCCACCCTCAGGGCGGGCCCTGCAGTTCCACGTCTCTTCCTGCCACAGGCCGTGACCACAGTCCTGGGATCCCTTCCCTGCCTGTGCTCTCCTCCCCTTCCATTTCCCCGGCCCCACCCGGTGCAGGGGACCTAGAGGAAGGGGTTTCAGGCTGTGGGGACAGCACTAGTCTCAGGCACATGATGGCAGGGCCACTCAGCCGGGCGGGTGCAGGCTCTCACCTCGTCACTTGGGTCGTAGTACTGCTCCAGGTATGGGTGGGCCAGAGCCTGTTCCACCTCAATCCTCTTATGAGGGTTGAACGTCAACATCTTGTCCAGTAAATCTAGAGCTACAAAGAGAAAGGTTTTGCAGAGGTGAGAAGCCAAAGAAACAGTCAATGAAATACTCTCTCGTCTTCCTGTTTAAGTCCACTGACCCACAAGACAACCGAGCTAAAGGAGCCCCCACCACCCAGGGGTGCCTGTTCCATCTCTGAGCTTGAGTCTGAGCACCTGTTAGTAGAGACCCAGACTCAGGAAGGTGATATGCTCAGCAAAGGCTCCACACAGTGGCCAGGATTCAAGCCCAAGTCTGCCCCCCAAACCTGGCCTTGTCCTAAATCACGGCTCTGCTCGCAGGGTCAAAAGCAGAGGTTTTATGTATGTACTGCTCTTAAGTCAACTCCAAAGTCACTTCTGCAATGGTCACTGCCTCTCATGTGGTTTCAGCCTCCTCCTTCCAGGTCCTGGCTGAGAGGCATGTGTAAAGCACAGGCCCCCTGGCCTGCTCTGCAGCCTGGCGTCTTTCTCTAAGGCCCCAAACTACAAGTATTCTCTCGACCTGGCTGGCAGTTCAGCCCTGAACACCTCTTTCATGTCGACAATGCAGCAAGGCAGCAAGTGCAGGGCCAACAGGAACAAGCCGGAGGCGGTGGCCAATGAGCAGCCTGCCCTGGGGCCTCTGCAGAGTATCTAGGCACCACCTCAGGCCGCGAGGACAGCCAAGGGGCACGGCTGACAGTGGCTGGGACCAGGGTTAAGGGTCATGTGACAAAATACTTCCTGTATTTAGTGTCAGAAGTAGGTTTCAATGAGGGAGAATACATGCTAGAAAAGACATCACTGTTCTGGTAAAGAGGTAACAAAGAGAGCTTCTTTTAAAACTGTCTCTTTTTATTTAACAATGCTCAGACCAGTGGTGCTCACGGACCTGAGACACCCCTGAGAAATCCAAGGGCTCCAAGAAATATATCTAAAAACTACTAGGTAGGGCTTCCCTGGTGGCGCAGTGGTTGAGAGTCCGCCTGCCGATGCAGGGGACACGGGTCCGTGCCCCGGTCCGGGAAGATCCCACATGCCGCGGAGCGCCTGGGCCCGTGAGCCATGGCCGCTGGGCCTGCGCGTCCGGGGCCTGTGCTCCGCAACGGGAGAGGCCCGCGTACCGCAAAAAAACCCTACCAGGTAATTATTAAGAACACACATTTTTAGAAAATGTATTGACACTAACAAAAACAAAAGCACTGACATCTACTTAATGAAGCCTTGTTACTCACGGTGATAGTTTCTTATTAGGTTATCAACCTTGTCCATCTGCAAATGAGCACCCGACTCTAAGCTCTAGGATAAAGAACGGTGATGGAAAATCACTGTATTCACTAGGAAATGTGCTCCCTGATGGAGAGCAGCTGGCAGCTGGCCAGGAAGTTGCCGGGACAGAGCGGGTGGGTAGGGTGCCCCACTGCCCGAGGTTGGGGCCCCCACGTGCACATCCCTGCACACCACCCCTACTCGCCTTCAATCAGGAGATCATCGATGTGGTACACTGTGTGATGGACATGATAAGAAATTCCACACAACAAAGGACTTTTTTCATGTCCATAAAGTGAAGTGTGAAAACCAGTACGTTTTTTTTAAAGCCCACATAATGAATTTCTACAAATAGTACATTTTCAAACTGGTAGATGGGCGAACACACCTGCTGGGCCTCAGAGCCCTACCATACCTAACACAGGTACTAACACCGACCTCATTTCCCGCTCCCGCCCCCCTCCCCTAGAGCTCACAGACATTTCCCCAAGGACTGCCTTGAGATCAGATAACCTCCATCCGTGTCAGGAGAAGCCGAGGGCCCAGCCACAATCAAGAGTCTAACAGCATTATTTTTAAATTCCAAGTCTTGTTGATATTAAGGAGGGATGCACTCCAAGGCAACTGGATGCTCTGCAGCTGACACACTCCTAAAACAGACCTTTCAGTTCCTTCAAGTTCAATCCTAGGCAACAATTTCAAAAGAAAAGAGCTTTTAAAATTTTTTTTTTGCTACTTGAAAACTGACTGGCTCTCCAGCCTCTTTTGACTGCAGCGCTATTTCTGCACTGCTCGCAGCTACAGGAGGGGAGGGGGGGAGATGGGAAGCAGCTGGCAGGTGCTGCTCCCACAGTCAGAGAGCCCGGCCTCCCTCCTCCCACATGCTCAGCATCCCGCTGGCACCACTCCGACGTATGAATCACGCTGGCTGTGCATATGCTTCCTTGGATGCAGATTTTATTTCCCCTAAAAGACTGAAGCCCCTTCAAGGCCAGGATGACACCCGACCACGATCCTGATGACTCTCCCTGGTGGCGGCCATGAGCCCACACGTCCCCTCTAACTCCGGGGGGTGTGCAGCAACATGACCCCACCTTTCCGGCTCATCAGTCACTTCTCCTTCCAGGTCCTGGGGCGGGTCACCCGGCTGGCAGCACTGCTTTGGGGCCATCTCACCTACCCAGCAACACTCTGATCCCAGATCAAGGCTGCCATCTGTCACTTCCATCCTCAGCTCGAATTTCTGAGCAGGGGCAGAGAAAAAGGCCACCTGTGCAGACTGTGCCACCGCAACAGTGCTTCTCAAACTTTCTGATCTCAGAGCCCTACTCTTGAAAACTACTGAGGATCAATTATTAAAAAGCAGCGAATTCAACTCACAATTCAAACAACTGCACAGCACCATCCTTTGAGGAAACCACTGCACTCAGTATGTGGCAGATGTGTTCTGCATGCACTTATCCCGCGCTGTCACATGGAGCACTAAAAAGACTGGCACAAAGGACAGGACACAACAAAGCGAGTTCTCTGTGCTGCTGCACCAAAGGCACCTCACATGCAGCTGCCCTGGTTTTAGCTGGGAGGCTGGCACTGCCACCTCGCCCTGCACTGAGCACAGATGGCAGCACAAGGGACAGGGTACAGGATGCCTCAGTGTCATCATGAAAGGAGTTTTCACCTCACCAACCCCCTGGAAGGATCTTGGGGACCTTATAGGTCTAAGGAGCACACTACCAAGAACTGCTGAGCCACAAAAACTCCAAGATCTTTAATCTTATCATGGTCCCCAAGAGCTCGGGGAAAGCCCTGGTCAGCCCTTCTCTACTCACATGGGTGGATCATGCCCTTCCTGCCCACCGGCCCTCATTCCTCTCAGCACAACTTTCTGAGAAAATCAAGATCCCCAGGGGTGACCTTCCTGGACATTCCTCCACCAGATCCACATGCATCCTTCTGTGGGAAGAGGGGACCCTTTCCCCACCCAAAGCCGATCCTCCCTGCTGCCCTCACCTGGCCCAGTCCTTTCTGTCTCCATGTTCCCACTCCTCTTATGTGGTCACCCATGACCTGAACTGGAGGCCTCTATGCCATGTGGAGGTGCTGAACTCGGCCACATTCTCACAAGGCATTATCTGTGTCTATCTCCTCTACAGGTTGCGAGAATCCCCATCCCTCCCACACTGTCCAGGGAAGATTCTTGTCCAGCTCCTTACACATCTCACTCTTCAGCTCCCCAGCCTCTTCCAGGATTTCAAATGCCATCTGTTAAAAAACTCCTAAATCTATTGTCAGCTCAGGACTCTCACTCTCTGTATACACAGACTCTCTGTAGGTAATGAAATAGAATACAGCTTATTATCCCATTGAGAACATATATATGTATATGCATTTACAGGAGCAGTAATAAAGTCTGGAGGCTTTTCAAATACCAGGTTATCTGAGAAATGGACACAGACTTCTCACAAGAACGGCATTTTTTAAAATTTCAAAAAATACGGGGAGTCCAGTGGTTAATACTCCGCTCTTCCACTGTAGGAGGTACCAGTTTGACCCCTGGTCGGGGAACTAAAATCCTGCATGCTGCATGGCATGGCCAAAAAAACCCCCCAAAAAACGAAAAACAAAAGTGGGACCGAGAGAACAGAATTCCTCATCTTTCTTCACGTGCTGACAGCTGTCTGCTGGCTTTGCACACCTGCCCTCTAACCACACGGAGCTGCACTTGCCATGGGGGAGCTCTCAGGCTTGCCCGTGGGAGCGGTGACACCACCTCGGCCACATTCACCAGGTTCTCTTGGCCACAGTGACTGCCAAGGGTGTGGACACAGAGGCAGTGAGTGTCAGCCCCACACCTGGGCTAAAACTATCAGGAAACAGGTGAACCTGGAGATGCTGGTGGCCATCGTGTCACCATGAGAAAAGAGGCTGGTTAACAAGAAAGATGGAACAGAGGAAGGCAACGCTGAATGACAAAGTCCAGATTGTGGTCAAAGCAGCTACGCCTGGAATCAAAGCCCTGCTGGGCCTGTCGGTTCCGAGAACTGGTGAAGTCCTTCTTCAGGCCGAGGCCAGTCCCAGTGGGTTCTCATGAAGTGGACGGAGAAGGCCTCAAAGAGCCGACTCTCCAGTCTGTGATGACTCACCCCACGACCACAGCCCCATCGCTCAGTGGGAACCACTGCTCATTTCTGGACACGTTTTGTAGAATTTCCCTGTGCATCTTCTTTCACACAGTTGAGATCATATTATACATAAAAAAGGCTGTGTTATTTTCTCAGTCAACACTGCTCATTAGTATTTTCCCATGCTACAAAAACTTTGTAAAAATCACTTTTAGGGACTTGATATAATATTCCTTTGAGTAGATGTACCAGTTGACTCTGATCCATGAACAATGAACAGTTAGCGCTGAGTTTGTTTCTAACAATTTTTAAAAAAATTTATTTATTTATTCTTGGCTGCGTTGGGTCTTCATTGTTCCGTGTGGGCTTCTCACTGTGGTGGCTTCTCTTGTTGCAGAGCACAGGCTCTAGGCGTGCAGGCTTCAGTAGTTGTGGCACGCAGGCTCAGTAGTTGTGGCTCGCAGGCTCTAGAGCATAGGCTCAGTAGTTTTGACGCACAGGCTTAGCTGCTCCGCGGCATGTGGGATCTTCCCGGAGCAGGGCTTGAACTCGTGTCTCCTGCATTGGCAGGCAGATTCTTAACCACTGTGCCACCAGGGAAGCCGTTTCTAACAATTTAACACAGCCCAGACTAAACTCAC